TTTTTTTGTTTTTCATTGGATAATTGTGAAACAAAATTAACTTCATACTCTGTGAACCAGACCCTGAACTTACTTAAAGTCTGGATTTAGTTTTTTCCCTTTCATTAATGACACTTTTATTGGACAGGAGCAGCTTGATTGATTATTACATAAATTATATCTATCATGGTAGTTCAGGGTGAGTTATTTTTAATTCTAAATGAATATCCTTGTTGGTCTTTTATTTAAGTGCTATTCTCCTTCAAGATACATTTACCTAACGCTAGAATAAATGCAATGTACATTATGCAGCAAAGGAAATTAGAAGTTCGAACATATATCCATTATGGAGATGATCGGTTTTGGACGGGCGATGTGCCCCGTATTGCATAAGCGACACTAAAGAATGACTGCTATCATTAACGATACAGGGAAGAAGCTTTTCAGTTATCTAGCTTTGTTAGCAAAGTCGTTAGCTAGCAGCTAGCTAATAGCACATCAACAAGAGCCTAATGTCTGTCTGATAAAAATACCGAATCGATAGATAAGAACAGTTTTTCCTCACCTGGCTGTCTCCTCCCACTCAGTAGTTCTTCAGAGAAAGGCAGACTGTCAGTGTCTGTAGTATTTCATTACCTCTCTGCTTAAACCGCGACTCCGTGCTGAAGCAGAAACAATACTTTCAACGTTTTCCCTCATCTGACAAGTAGCAAGTCTACTCCTCTTTATTCACCAAAAACGTTTTTTTTTTTTTAAATTCACCAAAAACTGTTCTGTAATTTGGAACGTTCGCTACGTTGAGTTCCAGTTAGCTGCCTTATCTCACTGCGCGAGAGGCAACTGCGTCATGCGTCATGGGCAAAAGGTCAAAGGTAACAAGGTGGCCAGAGGGCTTATTATGTTGTTTTTCTTGAAAAATACAACAACAACAAAAAACAACAAAAAACAAAACAATTTCAGTACATGTAATTATGTGTCAGAGGGCTTAGGTAATAATAATAAAAAATAAATAAAAAATTTGACCAAAAGGGCACTTGGGGGCAAGGCGCAAAAGGGGCAAGTGCTCAAGCCCTCTTAGCCCCCCCTCTTTCTGCACGTGCCTGGACAGGAGGCAGGTTTTAGGGGCATCAATAACACTGCTAGCAATTAAAGTTGTGAAGTGGCAGTACATGGAAAAAGGTTAAAGAGGTATGTGAATACTGTCACAAAGCATTGTAGTTCAATCAGAAAGGATGATTAAAAACAGTTGCCATATACAAGAGGATCTCTTCTTGAGCAGAAACAATGAGAGGGAACAGTAAGTGCATCTTGAACCTGAAATTTCTGAACATTTTTAACACTGTACAAGACTGATAATCCCTCTAAGGCTGCACATGTCCGGCACTGGCATAATATACAAAAATATTTACCATTTCATTGCAGTCATGGTGGGATTAAAACTTTAAACATGTTCAAAAAGAGCTATTCAAAGACAGGAATTATTTGGTCAATGCACAATGTGTGATTCTCTTCTGCCTCCAGACATTTGTCTGGCAAACTGACAATGGTTCCAATACAACAAAACCACCCACTGATTAACTAAGACTATAAATAATAAATAGTTGAGGGACAATTTGTAACCATCGCTGGTTAATCCAACTTAAAGACATTAAGATCCTCTGCATTCTAGAGTCGTGAATACATATCTTTTGTCAGAAATATATTCAAGTTTGCTGCAAAAAGGTCTGACAGAGAAGATAACAAAGATATTCCTAAGACTCCATTCACACCAGTCCTTCTTAGTCTGCTTTAAACCAATTCCATTTAATTTACCTTGAAAGTGTGGTATGGTTTTAACTGATAACTTTACTGTCAGGTTGTGTTGGTATGAGGACCCAAAAGCAGATGGACGGAGACAGTAGATGAAGAATTGTTTTAATGAAAAAAATAAGAATGAAACTTGCAGTGAAGAAAAATAAGTTTCTTATTTCGAAGTGTGGCAAGTTCTCCCACTTAGAAATCATGGAGGCGTCTGAAATGTTTATCTTAGGTGCATGTCCACTATGAGAGACATAATGTAAAAAAGAATCCGGAAATCATAATGTATAATTTTTTTAAATAATTTATTTGTGTGTAACTGTGTTTAGAGCGTAATTTAGAGCACCATTCAAGCATGCATTCATACGCAGCTGTTATACAGAAAACGGAAATAAATTACCACTTAATGAGGAGATATGAAGCCTGCCTTACCGAGCGTGAAGCACCAGGAAACAGAAGTTTGAACTGGAAGCCAATAACATGATGTCAACCAGATGAGGGAAGGCCCTTTATATAATGACAGCCAGCTCTGCAGCCAATGGAAACAGGGACTGGTGTGGTTCATTCAGAGCCTACAAGGCATACGCACAGTGTTAGCACTTCCACAGAAGCTAAGATATGTAGTCTTTCTTATTTCTGTTACAGGATAGATAATCAGCGACAAAGCAAAATAAATGTTGCTCCTCGATTGCCTGCTTTGCAAACACCAGCCGATAGCATGCTAAGTAGCCATTTAGCTAGTTATGTCAGTTTCCCAAACTCCATCTTACTTAAAATATTTCAGATATGTTGTACAAAAAGAGTAGCTGAATATTCTCCAAATAATTTGGAGTAGGGTTATTTGCAGAAGAAAACTATAGAAAAATCTACAAACAGGTGAATCCAGACTAAATAGATGGAGATCCCCTACCTCTAAATCAGAGGACCTTGACCTCTGTTTTACCATACAGAAGTAAATACTCAAGACTGTTTGTCTTCAGTATTTTATTAGCTTTTTGTTACATTGATTATTGTCTTTATCTTTTAGTCTTTTCTATGTATTTGTGACATCCCACTCATCTTGAACATGACTCAGGATAAATAAAATAATGTAACTTCTATAGCTATACAATGTGGCTAATCAGCTATGCAAAAGGACGAAAGCCCAATGATGCTTCTACAGAACAATGTATATTGATGCTGATGTTTTTAGGAACAAAAGGGGCTCCGAAATCAAATTCTGCTCCAGGCCTCATACAACCTTGGACTGGCGCTGCATGATGAGGTAATCTGCTGCACTATGCAGAGATGCGCAACAAACAGGAGATTTAATTCAATGCTGCTAATGTGGCTTTAGTAGCTCTTTCATTTCATGTCTGTTGAGTTTTTAATAAGCATCACAGAAGCTATTCTGGTTGGTCGAGTTTATGGGACGAGTTTCTCAGATCTCAGCCGCGCACATTAACTCTGTCTGATTAAGTGGACAAAGCATTTGATACGGTTTCATACATTGTGTAACCGGAAAAATAATACTAAAAATAATAATATAATATAAAATCAGCGTGATGCGTTACAGACAGGTGAGCGTGAAAGCTCCTCACCAGGCTGAACCTGCATGATCAGGTTAGCACTAGTTCATTAACTAACACACCGGCCAACCGGGAACACATGGATAAACTTTATCAGCGCAGGCAGAGCCGGGCGCTGGGCGGCGTGTTGAGATGGAAAAGCCACACAAAATTCTTTGTTCACAAATATAAATCATTCTCACCACTCGTTCAGCGCACCTCTGAAAGCTACAAGTTATTCCTGCAGTTCACATAGAGCTGCGCAACCAGAGCCAACCAGAGCTTGGTGTTTTAATAGTTATAGTTGGTGACCCCTGCTTTAGTATATTTCAAATTTACTCACATTTGTGAAAGTACATTGTAGTATACTAAGTATTAAGTGTACTACCTATAAATATATACAAAATACACTAACAGCATGGCTGTACCAATTTTGAACATTATAACTTTAGACACACTTAAATAAATTGTACCAAAGTACACTTTTAAGAAATATATTAAATAAAAATATACTTTAAGTCAACAAAATGTGTATGCTCAAGTGTGCCAATGAAACAATATGCTTTTAAAGAAATTTTGTGTATATTTTAAAATATCTGCTCAAAATAGAATTTTTTTAAATTCACTTAACACCTACTTGAGAAATAAACTATTAAATATACTGACATTTTAGTATGTTTTAAATTACATCCAAGTGTTTGATACAGTACACATATAAATAGACTTACATTGCTTTCAGAAGTAGTTATTTTTATCAATTTTATTGTGACTTTTATGATTTTATAACTGGATGGAGGGTGTTTGATGCGACTTAATAAGCTTTTCTTCATAAACTTAACTTTGGTTTTAATTAAGCGCTGTATGACTTTGATATTGTGAGGCTGCTACCTTGTTCATCATTGTTTTTATCTTCAAAAACACTGTACATTATATAAATAAGCTAAATAATTGGAAAATCAGTTCATTTATTAAAAGTCTTTAACCATTTTATTGGCAATGAACAGAGAGGAGGAACATGCTCTCATCGAATGGCAGCCACCACAGTTAGAGGTTGCGCAATCCAAGGTGAGGCTCAGCTCGCTGCTGCCTCACCAGATGCGCTTCCGAGCATTTGAATGTGAAATTGTGAAAATTCAGCTTTTTCAAGAAAACCTGAACAAAACTGGTTAAGCTAAATGAAAAATAAATACTTTATTGTACAAACCACAGGTTTAAAGTACCAATATAAATTATCTTATTATATATTATCCTTCCATGATCACAGGTGAGACTCTGCCTCACCTTTCTCCCCTGACCGCACATCACTGACATACAAAAACTTGCATGTTTAATGTTTTTAAGGTTTTCTTTATGGAAATATTGTTGTTTAGTCCACAGTTGCTGGACAGGAGTAAAGGCAGAGATAGAAGGGGAAGACATGCACCAAATTTTTGGCAGCTGTTGTTCTCTATACATTTGAGAGCTTAAACGTCTCTACAAATGTCTCTTTTACCGTTTGTGTTTGTTCTTTAAGCTTTAATATTTAATCAAATATGCCTAAATAATATCAACAGAATTGTTACAAAAGCACGTGAGACTCCTGAAGGTTTCGGAGCTCTATCTCACAAACTCTGGTTACATTCAGCCGCTCCCATCGTCCCCCGTCCCCGGTTCACGTGCCACGCGGAGTTGGATAATGGCGCTGTTCACGTGTTGGGTAACAGAGACAAGCTGCCACTCCCCCTTCCCTCTGTGGGTAGCATGATCTAACCGAAACTTCTGGACCTCCAGCAGCACGTAAACTCGCCATAGTTGTCAGCTGCAGAAACCGACGTCCCGCCCATAAACGGTAAATATGCTGCCTGACAAAGGTAAGTTCGTTCCTCAATTTTTTTTGTACCGATAGGTTAGAGTGGTTAAAGGAGGTAGCGAGAGAGTGGTCAGACTTTGTTACCTAGTCCAGAGAGAATCCAGGCTGTGTTCAAGTAGAAACCTTCTGTCTCATCCCAGGGAGCTTCTTACGATGAGTAAAATATCAGTAGCAGTTGCTATTGATGCTATTGCAGTTGCTTGGCTGATCACTTTAAATGCAATATTTCCATTTCAATAAGCACTTCTGGATGTAAACTGGATTTCGTTGCCTGTGCTTGGAACATGTGCAATGACAATAAAGTTGAATCTATCTATCTATCTATCTATCTATCTATCTATCTATCTATCTATCTATCTATCTATCTATCTATCTATCTATCTATCTATCTATCTATCTATCACTTAAATATATGTTTATATTTCTTTTGAAACTTCAACATTCATGTTTTAAATCATGTCTTGTTTTGCGTTTGTCTACATGGGTGTGACTTTTTTTTACATTAACCATCATAATATTTAATTTCTGTACATTGTTGTAAATTATGTTAATTATGTGCTATATGTTGATTTTTTGTTGTTGTTGTTTTTACCATCAACCTGCCAGAGGACTATAAATGACAATTAACTCTAGTACCTAAATCTGGCATATTTACGTGGTTGATTTAATGTACACTTGTTGATTATTATTGAATAAGTTCAAATGAAAACTATTTTGTGCTTGGCTACAGAAATTAATTACAGAATGGAGCAGAAGTAATTTCCTGGTAGTTGATATATTTAATTTCTCTTTGGGATCAATAAAGTATTTTTGAATTGAATTGACATGCTCTTGTGATTTTCCCAGTTCCTGACACCCCTGTGGAAGTCATAGTGGATCTGTTGATAAAGGCTAAGGGCATAGCTTCAACATGTGCCACCGTTCCAGAGGAACTGAAAAGCCACCTGCAGAAGGCTCTCGACATTGCCAGTGGACTGGACAACTACCTGGAGAAAATTACCACCAAAGAGAGCGAACCTCTGGCGGAGCTGTATAAGTATGACTTTGCTTTTTTTCTCTCCACTAAATCATCTGAAAATAAAAGTGTTTTATTGTGTGAAATACAGTCCCTTGTTGAAGCGTTCATACCCCTGAAACTCTTTCATAGTTTTTTATGTTATTATCACAAATGTTTGCATATTTTAATGGCAACAGAATCAAACTATATTTTATTGGTCCCCAAGGAGAAATTGTTAATTTGTTGACAAACTACTCCCATGTTCAATCAATGAATCAAATTTTATTTACATAGCAAATTTCAGCAACAAGGCATTTCAAAGTGCTCTACATCATAAAAACACAAACTTGTGCATAGAATCAACAATTGAAACATTGCATTTAGTCAAGTGCCATTGTTAAATTCTTAATCGATTATGCTTCAAAGGCAACTCTAAACGTGGGTTTTTAGTCTAGATTTAAAGGAGCTCAGTGTTAAAGATTAGCAAATATAAATTAAATCATTAGTGCCAAATTTCATAACACGTGTTAAATTATAAATAATTTAAATATGACTGAAATATTAAATGAATTGAAGAAATAACATTAATTAATTAATAAACAAGTATCAGGGTTTCACCCAGTGTATTATAGGCCTGGCGGCCCGCCATTCTTTACTAGCGCCACCGCCAGGCTAAGCCTTTCTTGTTTATGTTTTTAGGAAAATAATAATTAAAAAAAATAAATACATTTTTTTCTTCTTCTTTTTTAAGCCGGATTGCAAGGGTCTCTGTTGCTCTGAGCGCTTCACTGGCGGAGCAGATTTATTCCTAAAAGATATGTTTATAGAAGATAGGTTTATAGTTTATGCATTTAAAGCCGGACCAATCACACCGCTGGCGACTCTGCACGTTGCTTTGCGCGCTGCAGTAGATGGATTAAGTTTACCTCAGCGCGGATCCTGCGCGCTTCCTTTCACTGAGACTGGACACGGGTTGACCTGTATGGATATTTACATCAACCCCTGTGAGGAATTATGATTCTTTCCAGAGTTTTTTTTTTTTTGATCAAGGTAGGACTTTAAACACCAAGCTCTGGTTGGCTCTGGTTGCGCAGCTCTATGTGAACTGCAGGAATAACTTGTAGCTTTCAGAGGTGCGCTGAACGAGTGGTGAGAATGATTTATATTTGTGAACAAAGAATTTTGTGTGGCTTTTCCATCTCAACACGCCGCCCAGCGCCCGGCTCTGCCTGCGCTGATAAAGTTTATCCATGTGTTCCCGGTTGGCCGGTGTGTTAGTTAATGAACTAGTGCTAACCTGATCATGCAGGTTCAGCCTGGTGAGGAGCTTTCGCGCTCTCCTGTCTGTAACGCATCACACTGATTTTATATTAAGTAATATTTTTCCGGTTACAAAATGCATCAGACCGTATCAAATGCTTTATCCACTTAGTCAGACAGTTATCTCTGCGCAGAGATCTGAGAAACTCGTCCCATAAACTCGACCAACCAGAATAGTTTCTGTGACGCTTATTAAAAACTCAACAGACACAAAATGTTAGAGCTACTAAAGCCACATTAGCAGCATTGAATTAAATCTCCTGTTTGTTGCGCATCTCTGCATAGTGCAGCAGATTACTTCATCATGCAGCGCCAGTCCAAGGCTGTATGAGGCCTGGAGCAGAATTTGATTTCGGAGCCCCTTTTGTTCCTAAAAACATCAGCACCTCTGACAGATGTGTTGGACTTAATCTGAGAGAAGGGGAGTAGTTTAATTGACCAACCTAAAAAGCAGTCAGTTATAATTGCAGTTTACTAAATTGTATTTGTGAACAAACAGAGCTCAAACTTAAAGATTAAACTCACAGCATCAGATTGTTGCTATGGTAACTAAACAATCTAACTATGGATATTGTTCTCTGAACTTTTACAAAGTAAACTTGCCAGCTACTTAAACTCTTACATTTAAATGTTAAACAATTTAAAATCTTTTAATCCATATATGCTGAAATTGAATCAAATTTAGCAGCATTGATCATCTCAATAAACAAGTGTTACATTCATGTATCTGTTGTCTGTGTTAAAATATTAGCATTTATGGGGCCCCTGAAGCCCTGGGGGGCCTGATGGAACTGCTGACTTAATTTGGATTAAACAAAAGTGCAAATAATTGATTTTCATTTTAATTGTATTTTTGTTGTTTTTAAGACTAGTTGTGGGTTTAAGTAGTGTTTCACTGGCAATGTTTTCCCGTAACGTATAATTACCGAGTGATATTTTAACATTTCCTTTCACCTTAACATCTTTTAATACAAAAACACGGTGGACCGCCTTGGCACCCCGACCACTGGACTTAGCAAGTTTTCTGGGGGAAACCCTGAGTATGTACATGGAAATATGTGAATCTATAAATTCAGTGTTCAAGACCAACATAAAACATTTTGTAACATAGAACACGTCACATGTAAAAAATAAAAAAGTGCTTCACAAAGATAGAACAGAAAAGTGAAACGACAAAAACAAGTGAAAAGGCACAACAGTATGAAAATAGATTAAATTGTAGACAATCAAAATGGTACATGTGTAACCGGATCCTTTCTGTGTTGTGCTGGTTTTATGAGTGATCAGGCTGTGACACGGTTTGTCTTTAAAAGGATGATTCTCGGTTTATTCTGACGACAACAACATACAGAAAACAACCATGTTAAAGGCTGCCTCCTCCAAGTCCTACACAAAAGTACATAACAAAAATTAACTTAATAAATCTATAAATAAACTGGATGTATTTAGATGAAAAATAAACAGCACACACCTCTCCCACAGGACAACATGACAAAAGGGGAGGGTCTAAGGGACGTAAACAATTTAAAGACAATACCACAGAAGAAGAAATAAAAAGGAGGGGCTTCCGATCTTAAAGTAACAGGTTAAAACAATGACAGGTGTTTCAGTCAGGTAAGAAACAATACAAATACCCCCCAAAAAAGACATTTTGTGTAATCATAACAAAAGAGAAGTACAACCAGGTTACACATGGTTTACAAATGTTATTACAAAAGTTTTTATAAATAAAATCTGAAAAGTCTTGCATTCATCTGTATTCAGACCATCTATGTTAATAAAACCTCATTCAGGATTTCCCTATTATTTAGCTCCACCAGTCTTTAGCTTTGACCACCTTCTAGGGGCACTCTGAACTCATTTGTCTGGATTTTATTTACAGGTGTTAAAGAAGACTGGATGCAAATGCAAAGCACATTTTTCAATTTTTTTTTTTTTTTTTGCTGAAAACCATGTGTATATTTCCATGCAGCTCAAAATGATACACTCCTTCGTGTTTGTCTGTTGCATAAAATACTTTGACATTTGTAGTTGTAAGATGATATAATGTTAAAATGTCCTAGGGGTGTGAATATTTTTACACAGCAGTGTCCCAACATGTAAAATCAGTCATGTGTACTTATTGGTAGGAAGACCATGTCTCACAACTGGGACCAAGTGTTTGAGGAGGGCAAGACTAAGTTCCGGCTTCCAAAGGAGTGCATCACTGGCCATGTTGAGGGTGGGACATTTATATGCACCTTTATTATTATTACATTTCATCTGTTATGTGTTTCATCATGATATGATAGTGGGTGTGCTTTTTGGCAGGTCAGGCCCTTAAGATGCTGATCCACATGAGTCAAGCCAAGAGGGTCCTGGAGATTGGGATGTTCACCGGTTATGGAGCTCTGTCCATGGCAGAGGGGCTTCCAGAAGATGGCTGCCTGGTGGCCTGTGAGCTAGAACCGTACCTTAAAGAATTCTCTCAGCCCATCTTTGAAAAGTCTCCACATGGTAAAAAGATAACTGTCAAGATTGGATCTGCCATGGAGACCCTTAAGGTGAGAGACAGTTGGTGTCAGAGTGATCTAAGGCTGCGTTCACACTGCAGCCTGAAGGGTAATACTTTATTTGAAGGGGGGTGAATAAGACTGTCATGACACTGTCATAAACATGACATAACACCTGTCATGTTCATGAATAAGCCTTCATGAATATTTATGACTGTTGTCATAAAGTGTCATTTGGTAAATTATGACGCTTTTAATACAAAGTTGACATTATTCAAAATGTCGTTGTTATGACAACTTGACATTAACCAAGAAATCATTACTGATATAAATTTGTTATAAAAGCATTACTGATTTCCCTATAAATATTAGGTAACTTTATGTTATTAAAGGTAAAGTTTAAACAGTAATGATTTATTGGTTAATGTCAAGTTGTCATAACAAAGACATTTTGAATAATGTCAACTTTGTATTAAAAGTGTCATAATTTACCGAATGACACTTTATGACAACAGTCATAACTATTCATGAAGGCTTATTCAGGTTCATGACAGGTGTTATGTCATGTTAATGAAAGTGTCATGACAGTCTTATTCACCCCCCTTCAAATAAAGTGTTACCAATGACTCTATGGTCCAGATTTTTATGATGTGTGGACACAACAATGTTTCTATCACTGGTCATGGGATAAGAACAGTTAAGTACCTTGCTGGTACCATCTGATGATTGTGGTAGGGGTTTGTCCCGCAATCAGTGGTGTCCTTGAGCAAGACACTTTACCTGGCTTGTCTGCCCAGTGGCGCCAGTGCTGTCAGATTGCCCCTACAATGTAATACTCACCACTGTCTGTGTGAAAGTCTGCATGGATGTGTGAATGACTGAATGTAGTGTAAAGCGCTTTGGAGTCCTCTGGACTTGGTAAGCGCAACACAAGTACAGGCTATTTACCATATGACTTAACATGGGAAGTACCATCCAAGTGTTCTTCAAGACACTTGACCACCTTTATAAAAAGGGGGAGGTATTGACAGTTGGCTGCTTTAGAGCAAACAAGTCTATATTAACATATTGCCAGGGAGGAGAGAGATCACCTTAGAGAATCAATTGTTCATGGCTAATAAACCTGGACCTAAAGAACCTTTCCAAACAATTTGAAACCCATCATTCTGCAACGAGAAAGATTATTGTGTGACACAGTCTTTCTCAAACTGTGTAAATGAATTAAGTGCAGCTGAAGTTCAGCAGTCTGGTGGCTGCAGGGAGGAAACTGATTTTCAGCCTTTTGGTCTTGCTCTGGATGCTCCTCAGCCTCCTGTCTGAGGGAAGAAGATGGAACCGTCTGTGTGCAGGATGAGTGGAATCTTTCATGATGTGGAGCACTCTCCTCCTGCATTGCAACATGTAGAGGTCCATGATGGAGTTTTTGTTTTGTTAATACGGTACGCAGGTATGCAGATCTAGGTCTGCAGCTGTGCTGAATGCAATATGCCAGTGAAGAGGGGATGAACAGTGTTGCGGCCCACGTTGACTAACTGCATCTTAACACTTAAAATTATTTTACTGACCAGTGGCTGAAAGAAAATGTTTGTTTTTGTCCATGCAATTCAAGTCTATTTTTCTTCTATTATGCTTCTAATTTCCAAATATCCCTAAAATGCTGACATTTTGCACACTTAAGGATTTTTTTTGATATCCATCTGTTTTCCATATGTTTTCTACTTCATGTTGCGGTGACAACTTGAAGTTAGGTGCTCTGTGAGTGTTTGTTAAATGGGGTAAGTGGTCCGTCCAGCGGGCTTTTCCTTCCAACTATCATGTATGGTGGTGAATAGATGATGTTTTGGCCTTATTTCCCAGCCAGTGGACCTTAGCATTTAGCAGATATTGAATCAATCACGAACTCTGTGAACCAGTTATTTGGTGACAAATTTGGGGCTGTTCAACAGCTAAAGGCCAATCTGAGCCAATAACACACCAAGACAATATTGTGAAAGAAGTAGGAAACCAAAAGTAATACAGAAACCATTTGGTCTACTAGCTGCAGAATCTTGTGGTGCAGTTACTTTTCCCTTCAGGTAGTCAATGTGGGCTTGTGCACATCAGCAAGGTCCCACCTGGTTTGTGCAGTATGAAATCAGTCAATTCAGAAATCATGAGAAGCAATAGAGAATAATACCATATTGTTTCTTGTTGGAGAGACATATTTGAGAACAAACTGAGATCAATGTTCCATCTCAGCACTGAGAACATCTTGCACACTACAAACCAAGTAAATAAAGCAAGGGTCACCAGCAGGATTTGCTTTGTGACTGAACTTTTGGAAGCAAATAGTGTGACTAGCCTTGGATGACTCTCTTTCAGACTCTTTCAGACAGTTAGGGTCCTTTCATTTTTCTTTATTTAAGTTCTGCTGTTAATAGATGCAGTATTGATTTACTATAGTGTCAAAGTGTATGCAATACACTACTCACAAATTAAAGGGAATACTAAAATAACATCCTACATCTCAAATAAACTAATTAAAAAACATTAATGACACAGTGGAATTGATTGAGATGAAAAAACACAAATTATCAATTTAACCCCTTAACTGGTGTTCCACACCAGTTGCTGACCCAAACATAATGATAATGAATCAGATCATGACCTTTATGATTTTTTTTTAATTCAAAGAAAAAATAAAATTCACATCACACCAAGCTAATTTTATGTAGTTCTGATTTCTCGAATACTTCTCTAAGCACTGTTGGTGCTTAACGACAGCTTATACTCTGACTAGCTTCTCTGCTTTTTTCTTCTTTATTATTGTCAGTTCTTCAGAAAAACGAGCTGCTAGTAGCGCTGCTAACTCCCGTTACAAAACTTAACTCATAATTACGATCTTCTGTTCTGGGCAGCTCTCTGATAGCAGATGTAGTGTCCGTAAACAAGTTTTACTAAATATTGTATTTTAGCTGAAAAGAGAGACGTAACTTCTATTATAAATATAGACTAGCAAAAAGCCCTACAAATTACAGTGAAATACTGCTACTTCCGGTGGGCGCTGGAAGTAAAACCCATTATCGTTTCTCCAGTAAGCCTCCCAGGAATAAAATGGACCTTTGTATATGTCTCTCTCTCTCTACCAGAGGCCTGGAAGCTTGAGGGTTCCTCCAGTATCTTGGCTGCGCCTAGAACTGCATATTTCTGGACTGAGATGTCTGATGTTGTTCCTGGGATCTGTTTTAGCCACTGCTCCAACAGTGGGCAGTCACTCCCAAACCTCCAGTTTAGGGGTGTCGGCACCGAGGGCCCTGATGACCACAGGCACCACTGTGGTCTTCACCTTCCAGGTCTTCTCCAGTTTCTCTCTGAGGCCCTGGTATATTTCCAGTTTCTCCTTTTTCCTGATGTTGTAATCACTTGGTATTGCTACATCTACCACAATGTCTGGTTGGTTCTCCATTACCATCTTGTCTGTCTGGATCTGGAAGTCCCACAGGATCTTAGCTCGGTCATTCTCCACCACCTTTGGGGTGTTCCCCACTTTGATCTCGGGGCTTCCAGTCCATATTCTGCATAGATGTTTCTGTACACTATGCCTGCCACTTGGTTATGTCGTTCCATGTACGCTTTCCCTGCCAGCATCTTGCACCCTGCTGTTATGTGCTGGACTGTCTCAGGGGCCTCCTTGTGGTAAACCGGAGCCTCTATTGCTCTGGTGTTTAGGGCCTGTTCCTGTGCAGCCAGGATGAGGGCCTCTATGCTGTCCTTGAGTCCAGCTTTTTTCAGCCATTGATAGGATTTCCTGCTATCAGCCACTTCAGTTATTTGTCGGTGGTACATCCCATGTAGGGGCTTGTCCTCCCATGATGGTTCCTCCAGCACCTTGTCCTCTGTTCCCCATTGTCTGAGACATTCGCTGATGTTCCTGGTCAGTCGCTCTCACACTCACTAGTCCTCTGCCTCCTTCCTTACGGCTCGTGTACAGTCTCAGGGTGCTGGATTTGGGGTGGAACCCTCCATGCATGGTTAGTAGCTTCCGAGTCTTAACATCCATCTTCCATTGCCCTTCATCTCTTCCATTGGCCAGCTAATTATTCCTGCAGGGTATCTGATTATTGGTAAGACATAGCTGTTTTTTGCATGGATCTTGTTCTTGTCTCTAGTTTTACTGGCCAGTCTCCTGTTACTTAATCCATGTTTTGGGCTTTAGACACTGTGCTGAGAGACACAGCAAATCTTCTCGCCACCACTCACATTAATGTTCCATCTTAGATTAGATGCACTGCTTAAGCAACTTCAGTGGGCTGTAAAAAACACCTTATGATCCCTTGATGAGTGACAGCATTGAAAGGATAAGAAAGGATAAGAAGAGAGAAATTATCTGTAGTTACCACCTGCAAAATCAGGCTTTTATAGGAGTTCTCTTGTGAATTGCCTTTCATTTCCACCTGTTTTTGTTCCATTTGCACAGCAGCAGGTGAAATCGATTCACAATAAGTGTTACTATCTAACTGGTGGCATTGATTCTACAAAGGTGTGACTGAGTTACATTGTTTTGTTAAGTGTTCCCTTTATTTTGTGAGCCGTGTATTTCTCTAATATCATGGGCATACTTTTATTTTTGGTTTAAGATCATGTCCTTATTTAGCCCTGAATATATGTAGAGAACTGGTCTTATTTAGACTGCATGTCCTTGCTAAAATTATCTTAGACATTGATAGTTAACTTTAATAACCTTTAGCTATAAATGAACATGTTAATCTGGATGGTGTGACGTCCTCACAATTCCAGGTGACGTATTAAATTCAATTAAGCAATTAGAATACATATGTTGTGTTCTATTTTTTCTGTGTAGTTATTTTTTTTTAGGTTTTCTGTGTTTAGTCCTGTCCCTGTCCTGTCTTCACTGTTGATTGCTTCCCAGGTGTGTCTCATTCCCCGATTACCCTCCCTGTGTATTTAAGTCCACCTGTTGTCTGTCTCTCTTGTCGGATCCTCGTCAAGTGTTGTTAGCCTCCCTAATGTCACGTCGCCTGTCTGTTTCCCCCGAGCTGCTTGCATCTGGTCCGTTGAGCTGTTTTCTACATTAAACCTTCATCTTCTTCAACCTGAGTCTCAGCGTTCTTTCTCACCACAATCGACCACAAATCATGACAACATTCTTCAGGTATCATTTTTGTAGAGCAAAGCTGCCCTGGTACATGGAGATAACCAAGTTCTCCATACGGTATATATGAAATGCCTGAATAGAACATAAGTGGAAAAACTCAACTTACCTTAATATAAAATTCACTTACTCAGCTGACTTGAGAAATATCATTGCACCCCTAGTTAACATCTGCATTTACCTTTTGTTATTTAGTTTGATTTGTTTTCATCCATTTGACAGAGGCCTATTTACAGACTGGCAGTGTGCATGTTGTACTTCAGCTCCCATATTAGCAATTAGTTCACGCACATTGGCAATGTGTTGCATAATATTTATTTGCAGTTGCAAATATATTAATGTGAATACACACGGCACTGCATTGCATCAACTAAAATGCACTAACTCTGTGCTGGCAAAGACATTTGTGATCTCACGTTTTTAGTCAGATGTATCACATCCAAGTTTGGGTTCAAAAACCATTCAACTCAGAGGTTGTGTTTGTCTTTGGTCCACATTCTATGGCTGTAATGTATAAATACCATGAGAAGGCTACAAAGGTATCCCACAGAGATGCCGAAACCTAAGGTCAACATTTACAAAGAAAAGCAAAACGTGATTTCAAAACGTAGGAAATTAAGCAACTTCAGTGTACATATGATAAAATGACCCCTCATATGTGGTTTGTGCTTTTTACCTCTAGACTCTAGAGACAGTCGCTGGTGTGTAGATTCAGCACAATCTGTGGCAAAGGTCCATCCACTATCGGTTGACTATACACACAACTGCTGTCAAATTAAAGAAATTAGCATGTTTGCAAGAAAACTGTGACAGTCCATTGAGACAAAAAAACAAACAAACATATGTTTTGTATATTTCAAAATAATCTTCTTATTTGAAAACAAAGAAAATATTTGACATGTTCTGGAAGGTGACCTGGTACAGATTGACCCGCTGCACTTCTTCACCTCTTTACTTTTGCTGTCACTGTTTGTGTCAGTTTGTTTTCATAACCAGTCAGTTAGTAACTGGTCACTTATTAGCCGACATTTTAGTGCACATTTGCAAGTTTTGTAATTATGTCACGTCCCTTTTTTTTTTTTTTTCAGGAACTGGCCGCCACCGGTGACCAATTCGACATGGTCTTCATTGATGCAGACAAGAATAATTATATCACTTACTACAACTTTATTATGGACAATAACTTGTTGAGACCGCAAGGGGTTATATGTGTAGATAACTCACTCTTCAAAGCAAGGGTTTATCTTAAAGACACTACGGATAGCAACGGCCTGGCTCTCCGAGATTTCAACCAGTTTATTGCGAATGATCCCCGGGTAGAGCAGGTACTTCTCTGACTACATTTGGGTTTTTGATTCCTAATCCCTTTTAATGTTAACGTTACCCTTTGTGTTTGAAAGGTCATCATCCCTCTCAGAGATGGCATCAGTCTTATCAGGCGTGTCTCTCTGACCTCAACACATTTGCTCTCTCAGGTACAGTTGAAACTTGCTGACACCTTCCTCTTGGTATGGTTATCTCTGAGTATGGCTGAGTGTTAGATCTTGTCCATTAGGATGACATTACGGACGATGAAGTCTTTCGAGGTGTCAAAGGCCGTTTCATCCTTGATCGGATGCGTCTGGATGGGAAGGTGGCCTACGTGACAGGTGGCGGGCAGGGCATTGGCCGGGGTTTTGCTCATGCCCTGGGTGAGGCTGGTGCCAAAGTGGCTGTGGTGGACATGGACCAGACCAAAGCTGAGACAGTGGTTAAGGAGCTCCTCCTCAAAGGTGTGATACATGGTCGCAAAAAGGAACTGTCTTGCATAAGTAAAGAACTTCATGTTTAGTCACATTTAGCCACATTTATTAACATTTAGCCATTTTTAACATTTAGTCACTTTTATTCACATTTAGGTGCATTTTATCACATTTAGTTATGTTTATTTATGTTGCACACTGGTTTTTCGCAGGTCCTTTTATTTTGATGAACACTATTAAGAAACCAGAGCAACAGTGAGCGCCTCCGCTGACCAGCCGTTACTATGCTGAATTGCCGTTGGCTCAACTCAAAAACAAATATTTACAATATAAGTCTAAGAATTGTGCACTCAAAACTTCCACACATATATCTCGCCACTCAACTCCAACTCACTCCCCCCACAAGAGACTGTCAACACAAATAGCAGCGCTAATTGACATTTACCTGTTAAGGACAAGAGCGATGCTGACCAGCCGTTACTGCGCTAAATTGCCGTTGGCTCGCTGAGTCAGGAGTGCTGCTCACTGTGCTCTATGTGCCCACTGGTGGCGAACCGTTGTAACTGCAGTACAGTGCATCTCAGCAAGAGATGTGCAGCTTAAGAGCACAGTCAACATAGAAAAACAGAAGTAAGTAAAGAAAGAAAAGGAGGGGGGGTGTAATTATTTATAATGTCCATTCTGTCACATTTACATTTAGTTGTATTTAGCCATGTTTATTTCCATATCCGGTAATCACATTTTGTCAGATTTAACAGAAATTTTGTCACCTGAACTGACGTTTCTTGACTTTAGTGAGAAATTTAATCACTTTTTGCGAGTTACTGCTCTGCTGAGCACCCAAAAAGCAAGTTTCACAATTAGTTCATGACTTTGTCACTGGCCATAATATTGATGTTATGTTCCTGACAGAAACATGGTTGGATGACAATAATAAATCACCCATACTAATTGAATCAGCACTTCCTAATTACATGTTTTAAGCGAGAATAGAAAACATAAAAGAGGAGGAGGGGTTGCTACAATACATCAGAATTCACTAAGCCAGAGTTGTCCAACTCCAGTCCTTTAGTACTACAGTCCTGCAACTTTTAGATGTGCCTCTGCTGCACCACACCTGAATAACGTGTGGTGCTAATGACCTAATAATGACCTAATTAGGTCATTAGCAGGAATCTGGAGAACTTATCTACACAATATGGAGGCAATTAAGCCATTTGATTCTGGCGTTTTGTACCTGTGGCCAAGGGCGTAGTAACGAGTATATGATGGGGGGGGGACATATTGATAACCTGACAGATCCGTAAATAGCTTGAACAGAAATGTCATAAACAAGGGTGTCATCAACACATTACTTAATAATTTGTTACTTATAATGTAGTTATAAGATTACTTACAATGTAAGTAATCTGACACCTTGTTTCACTAACGAGTAACACATTACTATTTGCAATCCAATAAAATTAAAGTTATGTATCCAAGTCAGTGTATGTTACTATAGTTGTCTTTTTCTTTTGTAAAAACATATATTGTTTCTTTTTCCTTGGGGGGAACTATGTCTCTTGTAGTGTGTGTGACACCAGCAAAACAAACATAAACAATGGTGGTAAAAGAGAGATGTATGGAAGCCCATTTCCGCCACTCTGTTAAAAAAAAAAAAAAAAAAAAATTATCTCATTATAATGAGATAGTATCTCATAAGTATGAGATACTATAATAATGAGATCGTATCTCATAATTATGAGATACTATCTCATTATAATGAGATTTTTTTTTTTTACAGAGTGGCGGAAATGGGCTTCCATAGAGATGTGCATTTCCTAGCTGATGGATGGATTTTTCAATTTTTCATTGAGTAATCAAGTTACTTTTTCAAAGTAACTGTGGTAATAAATTAACTGCACTTTATATCATATATGTGTTATGTTTTATCATCTCAAGGTGGCACACTGCCCCAAAAAACTTATTTTACCATTTTCTCTTGAGCAAAATGGCTTGAGTATTTGATCAAACATAATGACTGTCGATCCGGTGTTCTGACTATTTGTGCTACCTTGTCAGATTTTCCTACAGTAGCACATAGACTTAGATTGCCAAGTCTATCAGTGCTACGCGCCCAAAACTGCTAATGTCATGTTTACAAACCGAAAACTATAGCGGATTGTGTTAATGTTAAATATATTGAATAACATTATTTGAGTGACGGGACTGAAGTGGAGGCTTCGGAGTTATGCTTAGCTTAACATTGGAACAATTTATATACATGATGAAATCACAAGAATATCACTTCCTTCATCAGAATATCTTAAAATGAAAAGCTATAGATGTGTGCACTAATCCTTTCATTAGAATATCCTACCTTTTTAAAAAATATTTTAATTACAATGGTCCTTGTAAGAATAAAATGGTATCAGACAGGGAAAACAGGTTTTCAATGGAATTAAATTAAACAGACATCTACAAATACAGATTACTACAACTCCTTTTTTGAGCATTTATACATTGTATGACAGACTTAATCAAATGCAGCGCAGCCACAATGTCTCCACCGAACTGCGGAGGTCACTGTGGACCTGAAATTATAGGATATGCTATATTACGCCCTTATTACTGAGCTTCAATCCCACATAGCATCGCTACCAATATCTATTTAGCAAGGTTTAATAAAAAAGTTCAATTTCACTAAAATATTTCAAAGTATAGGGACAAAATAGCCCACAAAACAACGTATTTTGTCCTGTCAAACAATGTTGTTTACAGTAGTAACGACATTGCAGAGAGCAAACTAAAGCCATTTATAAATATATTTACAAAGCTCCTTGTCATGTAAACTAAAAATATGAAGTAATACAGGAGCTTAATGAAGGGCAGGAATAAAATTAATTAAACAAAGCTTACCGTAATCTTCGATGAAATGAAACATGAAACAAAACTTCCACAGGTATGAATTTATAAGAAATCTGCTGAGCAAACAGTATGTGACGTAGCATCGACGCGCCCATGCCAGGGGCGCTGCCAGGAATATTGGGCCCCCTGCCAAAAAGATAAATTGGGGCCCCCCTCACGCAGCTGCTGTTACAATTTCTTGAGTCTATGTGACCCATCCAAACCGTCACAATTTCAAAAGCTTGCAACTGACTTGCTTTCTTTGGTCCACTACTGATAACTAGTACAATATTTACTGCTCATGAATTTTACATGCAAGAGTAAAATTCAGTATGCATACAGTATGCAAGTAGTTTGCATAATTTTTTTCTATTGGTTTTAGATTAATGAAATGCCTCCCCATGAGCAACAGTCATAGGCAACCTGCAAAATATACATGAAAAAATCCAGACTTCTCAAAAAATGCTATGTAGTTGCTTTTTTTTTCAAGCTGCAGTATGCAACTTTAATAAAAAAATATGTTTTCTCCATATTTGTTAAAGCTGTCATCATGTTCTAGCAGTCTATGAGACATATAATCTGAAAACAATCAGTCTCCTCCACCTCTTTGCTGAACTACTATTGCTAGCTAAAGTAATACACCGTTCTGACCAAAACAACCAATCAGAACCAGTAGGACGCTCTTAGCGCTGTCAATCAACTTCATTCACTCACTGCTAAATGTGCTAATGGTGGAGAAACAACTTATTGTTACAGGAAAATCGTTTATCTGCCATTACTGGTAGTTATGCTTACTAGACTAAGCATTTACAACATGCTATGGTACCTGCAGAATAGCACAGAGCGAGGGGGAGGAAGGATGAGCCATATGAGATTGTGATTGACAGCACTAAACCTCTCCTGCCACTGACTGGTTGTTTTTAGAGAGCACTGGGAGAAAGCAGAGGAAATAGATTTTTCGCAGATTATCTCTCATGCCATACTGTCACAACATAATGACAGTTTTAACAAATTTGTGATTTTTTTTTTTTAATAAAAGTGACATACTGCAGCTTTAATTTCACCCAGGAGAGGGCAGGTCAGGAGGGATGTGGGTTAGAGCTGCTGCTGACTGACCCATCTGTTGTTAAGCGGTAAAAGGTACAAGGGAGAAGTTAAATATATGAATGTCTTGGTAATTTTTTCCTTAANTTTCTTTCTTTCTTTCTTTCTTTCTTTCTTTCTTTCTTTCTTTCTTTCTTTCTTTCTTTCCTTACCTCCTTGTGTGTCATCTTCGTTTAGGGCTGGACAATATGGCTGAAAAACCTGTAAGCATTTCATATTAGTTCATAACAATAATTAGGTTATTGCCATAAGATTACTATTCTCCCGGTAATTTTTTTATTTTCCATATTTGTATTGATATTTTTATTAAAACTTATTTATTTTATTATTTTTATTGGTATGTCCAAATCAGTCGACATTGATCATTTTTTATTAGTTTTTTGATTTAAATATATGAAATGCTGCCAAACAGTTTTCACTCCATGCCGTTGTTTTTTTTATTTTTTAAGCAGTTATGAGGCAGAGTGGCAAAATCTTAAACTGCTGCTGCTGGCAGTTACTCAACAAGTCGTTGCTAGGCAACCAAAGAATGAGTGGGTTGCTAGGTAACCAAAGAGTGAGTCTTTAATTCCCCCAGAATGCAATGCGGTTTTGGATCAGAACTCTGTGAATATATGGAGTAATATTCTATCTGTATTATTACTTTATATTGATCATCTTTCTGTTCTGATTTATATTGATATTGATTTATTGTCCTGCCGTGCCTTTATTACTTCCTTGTTTCCTTTCTTCCTCCTTTACCTTCCTGTCTTGTGCTCGACTTACCCACCTCTCCACCGTATGCCCTTCTTTCTTTCCTTTCTTCTTTCCTTGTGTCCTACCTCCCTTTATCTCATTCGTTTGTTTCTTCGTCTTGTCATCTTTTTCTTTCTTGACACCAAATGTTAGATGTTTTTCTTCTTTTGTTTCTTTTTCTTCAGTCTTTTACTGCTTACATTAAAAAAGAAATTCTGGTTTTGGATTGGACCAAACTCTTTGAACTTAACTTTAAAGAAAGTCACTGTCAGCTTTTATGTGTGGATGAAACATTTGGTGTGGAATGCTCTTTATTACTTGTAGATTCCTGCGTTATCTCCCCCGTACCCAGTTTGTACTGGCACCGGATCACCTTATC